CCGGTTAACCGGTTTAACGGCACTGTTCATCTAACGGGTTTTACCGGGCCGGGTAACCCGTTTCAAAAATTTAAACCATCCAAACCCATCCCAACCCCCCTACCCAGCCCAGCCCAGCCCCCCCTTACCGGTCCAGGCCTGTTTCGGGTTCTACCGGTCTGGGCCGATCCGGAACCTGGCTGACCCGGCCCGTTTAACACCCTTAGTTTATCCGAGTGATCCACAAACGACGTGTTTTCTAAAACACTCTGAAATCTCTTCTCTAATTATTTCTTTTACCTTCCTCTTAATTTTATTTTCTTCTCTCAAGTCTCGTTCTTTCTGCCTCCTCATTTTGAATGTGCTTTTTTCCTTTTGTTTATACATTAATGTGCTTTTAACTGTGTGATGATAATTGAATGGGAAATTATGGAGATTGTGTACTGTGTGTGCATATGACGTGAGGGAGTGGAGGTAAATTGTGAGACAGTCGTTTGTATAAAGTGACGTGATGGAAAGGGAGTTGTTAGGGGATAATGGCTGATAGTTTAGCACATATTTTTATTTTAATATTATTTTATTACTTTTTATTTATTTATTTAAAGAAAGGTAAAGTAAAATACATAAATAAAAATGTTAACCCACTTCTTTTAGACAAAGAAAAAATATAAATAAATTAAATTAAATATATACACTATAATTTGAATGATACTAAGAAAAATATATAAAGTCACTAGCTTACTTGTAAAATTGTAAATTAAAAGAAACCAAATATCTTTTTTGTTGTAAATTTTCTTTTTCTCCTTACAAATAGAAAGTACATTTTAAGTGTAAGTATATAAACATTTTTTGTAATTTTAATTTTTTTTTCAAAAATAAAACCCATTAGAAGTAAGATAAAAGTATAAAATATGAACATTAGACCTAAAAGAAATATTTACACTAAAATAGTATAAAGTTTTAGGTGTGGTCAAAAATTAGTTATTCACAACAATTACTCACAATACTCATGCATTATCAACAAGGTGACAATTCACATATCATGCAACTATAGTTCTAATATGACATTTGAGCTTCAAGAATTGATTTTACTCAACGAGGGCTCTTGTTCTATCATGTAGATCATGGTGGGCACCAAACTGTTTATCGTGAAAATGGTAATAACAATTAAATTTATTGATGGGACTCTAAAAATACGTGATCTATTTTTATGCTAGTTGTACAATAGTTGATGCTATGTATATGAAGTTTAAGGACGAGATGCATACTAAAATGGAGTCGTAATCGAACCGAAAGATAGCTGTTCAGGGCCTCGAGCTAGTCGATTTAAGGCCTCGAGGTAGATTCTCGAGCTCGGGCTCGGGCTAGTAGGGGCAGTCAGGGAAGGGCTAACAGATGCGATAATATTAAAGGAGGCTTTTTATGGTCAATGATAAACAATAAATGAAGAACACGTATGAAGATAATGAAATAATGCAACAATATCGAGAGGGTGTATTAGAGAGAAAAGAGAGAGAGAGTTATCATATATTTCATATAGAGTATATGGAGCAACATCAGTCCCTGTAAAGTAATAAAGATCCCCTTTATATAGAAGGGGGAAAGCTTATATGGTAAGACATACATTAATTGTAAAGATACGGAGATGGGACAACTAGATGTGACACCCTGATCTGAATTCAGGGTAGGTCGGCTAGGCCTTGTCAGACTCAGCCGCGTCTTGGGAACTCCCATTTTTATATTAGCCTCGACCAATATTCTCTTCAGGTCGGGTGTGGTTGGGCTCCGAGGAAGGAAACTTGGACGCATCTCTGTAGCCTCGAGGCTTCGAGGTAATTTTCCGAAACGCCTTAATGACTGGAAATCGGAACCCCCGATTCTGCCGTATACAGACTCCAAACTATTCCTCCTCTACGTTCCATTTGCCAAGCTCACTTAAAAAGTTAGCACCCAAACATTAGATCAATGAAAGGTTCACTCTTCTCTCACAAAAGAATGTCACAAGTACGACTTCAAGTACCATACGCTTTTCCCTCATGTAAATCACCACTAATGTAAGCTCACTCGATTCAAAATCAAGCAGGACTTCTTTCGGGTTATAATGAAGGCTTTTGGATTGGGGTAGGATACCATATGAGTAAGTGGTTACACCTTTCCTTAAGCACTCCACATTTTCATTTCTTGGCTGACAACTACCAATTCTTAGAGGCATTCTCTTTTTCTTGGGGGCTAGAGATACTTGATATCACTCTTTCTTGTTCATTTTATTCTTTTTCTCCCTTGATGCTCATGTCAGGAACCATTACCTCTTTTTGAATCCGTCAATCGTTCTTTTTATTCTCTTTCTTGCATTTTCTTTTTGCATTCTTTCTCTTTTCTTGCCTTTTCTTTTCATAGGGATCATTTATTTTCTCTTTTTGATACCTTGATACCTTTTTTAATATCCACTTATTTCACAAGAGTGTTACGGAAGGTCCGGGTGCCAAGAAAGGATTACGACAAAGCGGGTAAAGACTTATATCATGGTTATCGAATGAGAAAAATAATAGGCTCAAAGGGGGTTGACTAGGGATGACAACATTGGTTGGCTATAGAATGTTTAAATAGACCAAGGAAAGCCTACAATAATTTCCCAAACCAAGCAAACTTAGGATTTCACGTAGAAGCACATTTGCGGCAAGTTCTAGACCATTCGCATGGGTACTTGAACTAGCAACGAAAGATAACCTCAAACCTCACGTAACTAGATTGTAAAAGAGGATAGAGTCGAGAGCCTACAACAACCACAATCAAGTTAAAGATCACTATTGTCCAATAAACCACTTAATGATTATTAAAGTCAACTCAAGAGTCTCAATTTCACTAACTAGAGCTATTTTCTTTCAAAAACCTTGTTTCAAATCAGCAGCACATAGTTAAGTATATTGGTTCCATATGAAGCATGAATGACTCTTTTTTCGAGAATGACTTGATTAGGCCTTTTATTCATTACTATTACTATTATTATTACCTAAACACAAAGAAACAGACACATTCCCTTAAAAAGGTTGTCACACCATCCATCATCGGGAAGAGTCACCCGGTTCACATAAAAAACTACCCTTAGAAAGAACTGTAATATTAAGAAAACCAAAGGCTTATTATTTACGAAAACATAAAAAGAAACTACTAAAAAAATAAGAACTAAAGTGGAAAATTAAAGAAGATAATGAACAATAACTACTAAAGATAGATAAACTAAAAATAAGAAAAGGAACAGAATCATCAAATTATTATAGTCCAAATGTATCCAAAATGTGTCAATGTCAAATCAAATAAACTCCATCCCCCGAATAAAAGTAAGCATTGTCCCTAATGCTTAACAAAATAATAGCGAAAAGAGAGAGGGTGAAGAAAACTCCCTAAGAATCCTTGGACATCTCAGTGTCCCCAGCAATATCATCTCCCGTTGGGTCAGCCAACTGTATCTCATCATCATCATATCTGGGATTGGCAGGAGTGGCAAACATTTCACGCACTACCTCAGGCATGGCTCATCAAACTAGCCACCTGGTGCAGCCGGTGCATATGGATCTGAGATGGACTAGTCCGGGTCAAGTAACATAGCAGAAGGTAGATCCCCAGCCGTCGCAAGTCTAGTCACCTCTTTCCTAAGCTTGTCAATCGATCTCTTGCTTGCCTGGGACTTCCTCATCTTCTTCACTTCTTTGGACAACTCCTCAACAACTGACTCGTGCTGTACCAAAGTGTCCTTGATCATCTTCTGGCTGTCCAGAATCTTCTTCAACTTCTCATCAAGATCATAGGAGACCTATGGCCTATGTAAATGACTGCGTTGCAACAATACTAGATATGTCAGACAGCTTTGAAGTTGTTGTCTGCATCCAGTTGTTAATACTCGCCAATGTGTGGGAGACTCGCAAAGCAGATAATGGAGATGTAGTCATCGGCACGGGCCTCGGAGTGGTAGCAGGGGCTTCCCTGGGGGCTATGGTAGGACCTGAGGGTGGTGGCGGAGGCATAGCAGCAACACTAGAAGAGGGTCAGCATAGGTAGATAGAATGTCATCTATCACAGTGACTACCACTATCGGCTAATCAGACTGGCCTGTGGTGGTAGAAGGCTGAGCTCTTTTCTTTGGGTTGGTCACATCCATCAACGAATACCAGTAAAATGGCTTCTTCGGCGTCACCTTGGTATCATATGATCTTGGCTCTACCTTTGCATCAGTGAGGTACTCCATGATAGTGTTGGGATAAGGGTAGGACGTGTTGGTCTGCTGTGCTACCAATAAAATGTTGGACGACATCATGACATCCACATTAATTGGGTACCCAAACATGATAGAAGCCACAAGAACAACAAGAGGAAGTGGCAGATGAGTCTTATTTTGGCACGGATCAAGTCTGCTACAAACAAAGGTCTACTATCCCTTTGCCTCAAAGCTCAATATGATTCACTGAATGGGAACCCCAGCAATGATTCATGGTGGTGGTGGCCCTGGTGGTGTAAGATCTCCGTTAGCTATGGTCGTACTTCTTCATTCATAGCACACTTCTCTAGATAACACATCGGCTCCAAGTCCTCAAACCCCAAGTACGCATCTAGTGTGTGCTGATCAAACCACTACAACAAATTAGGCATTTAACCACACCTGAAAAGTGTGGTCTAAACTATCAGAAAGTGTGGCTTTTGATCATAGACCACACTTTTGGACCTACGGCAACGCTTTTCAAGGGGTGGCCTAAACAAGCGTAACATTTGCCCTAAGGCTACGCTTTTCATAAGGCAAAGGCTACACTTGCCTATGGCCACCCGTTTCATGTCCTAAGGCTACATTTCTAAAGCGAGGCCTTTATTACCTCATAGGCCACGCTTTTCAAGTGTGGCTCCTAAAGCTGCACTTCTAAAGCGTGGTCTTTGTTACTATGCTTTTAAAAAAAATTATATTTTTTTTGTATGTACCCTATAATTGTTTTTATTAATAAATACATATTTTATCATATATTTGAGGTCATTACTTAAGTATAAAGATCTCAAGTACTTCATTAATCAATAAAAAACGAGATTGTTTTAAACACATACATGCGCAATTTACTTCGAAAAAAGGAATACATTTTATGTACTGCAATCAACCAATAAAGCAAATTGCTTCAAGTAGCGTGCTAAATACGAACTTTACAAAATCAAATGTATTGTCCAAAGTCTCATCATTAACTTCAAATGTATCAAACCGACTTTGGCCACCACTTTTAATTGCATCACAAGAATTTTCCTACAAATTGAAAAAAAAACAAATATTAGATAGAAACCAATAGAGTGAAAACTAAAGGGAGAAGATTTCACACATAATTTTCGTACATAATGAATAAATATGGAGATTATCATCAGAACTCATATTCAATATAACAAAGGAACAACATGTTACTTAAATTCAATTCACACACCAGGTGCACTTGCCAAAATGTTGCATTCGTGGTAACATAACATCACAAAAATGCAATAAGATGAAAATATTCAATCAGATCAGAAGCTAGACTACGTTTCTATTTTCGATGGTGACTCAAAAACAGAACCCTCTAGCTCTATGTACTAGCAGTAGCACCAGGTGAAAATCCCTATGAAAATGGTAATACTAATGCATAAAAGAGAATTCAACATCCCAACAATAGTACTAACATCTTACTTTAGCATGTATAAATAATAAATGAATAAAAAAGTACCTTTTCAAGAATTGGACTATGAGTTAGAACAGAGGAATCTAAAAAATTTTGGTCTCTAGCAGCCTGTGCGTTACTTGAATCAACGTAGAAGGATAAGGTAGCTAACACACATCTAAATGACATATGACGAAGTTATAAATTATAAGTACCTTGACTGATTCTAGTGTTCATTCAGTTTGATTAATACTTGCAAAACGTAAACCCCTTTGATGTCAAGGTCACAATTCTTCATTGGCACAACAAACCTATAAAAGAAAAGAGTGATGTGAAATCTTTAGTTAGAAACTTTATTAGATGCGTTTCTTTATTTGTGGAGAAACGGAAAAAAAATATTTCAGTACGTGTAAGTTTTTATTCTCTCTCACAATATGAGAAGTTTTTAGCTACAACACTAATAAACAGTTATATTAGAGCAAGCCTGTCTTTGGATTTCAATCAGTAGATATTTTCAGAAAGGAGACCTGCAAGTTGAATCGCATCTTCTTGTCGGTAAACCACTGCAAAGTTTGACAACAGACAAGAAATTCTTGAATCATCCATTCTTGTAGAAGTTTCAAAAGGAGTGGAGCTAGACACAAGATAATAATGTCTAGTACTGACTCCCCTAAGCTCAATACTACAAAAGGCAAGAATAATAGTTAGACATAGAAGAGTGCTTAAGCCTACAATTGTATCGAACTAGTGAGTTAGTTGAATATTACGTAGATGTCTAATCATATACAAAAAGTAGTAGCACCAGAAAAACAGGGACAATTTTCATGTGCGAGAAAATTTATCTTTGACAAGCATAGCTATATCCCAGTATCATAGAGCATGTCTTCGACAAATACAAGTATTGTTTTGGTGGACGCCAGATGATTTTAAAAAATAAATATTGGCTAAAATAGACTACTATAGCAGGCAAGTAATTTCACCATATTAAGAACAATTTACTTAAGACGCATATAGAATAAGTTTTACATAAAGAGGCAAATCAAAAGTTTCAATTTTGTTGTTGTTGTTTTTTAGGGGAGAGGGGAGGCTGATAATTTCTTCACTTTGTTAGTAAGCTTTAATGAGACATGATAGCAACAGTCACTATGCTACAATAGAAAATGATAATTGTATTCTTTGTTTACTGAATGATGTAAAAGAATTAAATATAATATTTACTAAAAAGAATAATGTCAATCTACAGACAAATACATAATTTTGGACAAGAAATTGTAGAATAGCATGAAAACATGAAAATGACAAACTCAACAATATTTAAGACTTCTAGGCAATTCAGACAGAAGGCAATTAAATTTCATAAAAGAGCTTCAAGGGTAGTATAAGTCAAACATATACATAATTCAGGAAGAAGTAATTAAATCATGTAATATAGGACCATGAAACTACCTTGACTTTTTTCCCACTCTGAGACAATAATAGTATATGGCCATTTTACATACAAGCCAAGATATTTTATCTGCTGCTACTTTGTTCAAATTGTTCTTCCTCTAACTAAAATTGTATAATTTCTTATAGCACTCTTATTGATTCACTATATTAAATCCAAGCATGTAATTATTTAGCCAAATGTCTCCGATCCAATCAAACAATTTGTGTAGTCTCAAAATATTTGAGTTCTCCATTAAAAACAAAAGCTTTTAGTTTTATTCAAGTCAATCAAGTTGAGTTTCATCAAAGAACTTTGATATAGCTAAATCCTTGAGTTTCGTAGCTCTTTGTCATTTAAGTTGAAAGTTCAAATACCCTTGGCAATCTCGTACTCTTCCTTCATTTCCCAGAACAAGTAAAACAAACTTGAGTTTTTTGTTGTTGAAAGAAATGCTTTATTGACAGGAATAAAGGTATTTAAAAGTAGGTGAAACATTTTAGACGATAAAGGCAGTATAAAAATTCTAATATAATTATTTCAAGCCTCTCATGCTAAACCCACAAATGATCTATCCAAAAACTGAGACATTAAAAGATCTACAAATCGTGTAACACAAGTTTTTCCCAATTTCATAAGAAACGGACAATATCATAAATTCTCTGAGAAATCCATTTACTCCATATTCAGAAGAAAATCTAAATACTAATTTTTTTCGATTAAACCCAGAAACTGAATGAAAGTAAAATATCCTGTATATGGTCTCAAAAGAAATAGAAAAAACCTGAATGCCGAATCTTTCTTGTTGTCTTGAGAAACTGACTTATGTAACTCATATATTAGGAGATATCAAATAAAGTAAATTAGATCTCCTGCTTGTCAAGAACATCACCATTTGGGTGAAATCATTTTCTTCTTTCCCCTTTTTGACGAAGATTGGGTGCAATGGACATTTTTTTTTTTAAAATCAAGTGAAGAAGGTTGTGGGTTTCAAACCCTAGAGTAAAGGGGCAACTGGAATCGCTTAGACTTTTAGTGAAAATTTTTAGAGGGGAAGTGGAAAATTTTAGAGGGAATAGCTTAAGTGGGAAATTTTTGTGCGTATTTTTTTTTAATTCAAACCACGTCTGCACCGCATTACTTTTTATGTACCAAGGACAAGGATAACGCTTGTAAAGTGTTTCTTAATATCTGAATAAGCGTTCTCAAAAATTTTAACACTAGGCAATACTTGCAATGTGTAGTCATTGCACACAAAAAGCACGCTTTACCGGTGTAGCCCAAACTCCGTTGCCAAAAGCTCTTATCAAAGGACACCCTTACAAAAGCATTCCTATTGCTATTTTTTGGCAACATTTTTGAAGTGTTGCCTATAATAAGTGTTACCTTAGGCCAATTTTGTTGTAGTGAACCTCACCTTAAGGTTGCGTAATTTAGTCACCTTCGTCCCCTTCTTGATGGGAGAAACATTGCGTAGAACTCTCAGATGAGGTACTCCTTGGAATCCTCAACTCTATTAGTAAACCACATCCAAGCCTTTCTTGCTCTGAACTACCTCAACACTGCCAGGTTGTATTTATCTTAATCCTTCAACACAAACTGTCGCTCAAGTGTCAAGGATCTTGTCGACCACCATATGCGAAAGTTAGTGAAGGCAGCTAAGCTAACGATCCTATCCTCCCATATCTACTTTATCTTTGATCTCTCTACACCCGTAGATGTACCATCTCCCACTTTACCATCATCTGGGATATCCTGTACAGTCTGTGCATATGTGTCTTAGGCAGCTACTGGCTCAGAGGTCTGGCTAGCACTGTCGGACCCCTCGGAACTACTGTGAGATGAAGAGGCCTCATCTATGAGCTGAAATTGCCCCTGTAGCCTAGACTGTGTGGCTTCATGCTCTTCCAAAATAGAGGCTAAGTTGCCCTCGGATGCTTCCCTAGACAGGACATAACAACTAGATTCGGAGAGGTTTGTACCCCTCCCTCTGCCTGCAATAGTCTTCTTTCGGATAGTTTTCGGCTAGCCAAGGGGCAAGGTACCTCTACCTGGACCCCTAGAAGATCCACCTCCTCCTTTTGTAGTTTCTTTGTGTCCTCGTGAGAGAACCATTGTCTATATCAAAGCAAAGAGGATTGTTAGTTGCATGTTGTCATTCAATACATTCAAGACATATGTAGACAAGGAAAATCATTATTGACATAGTGAGGTTACGACAAAAACAACAGGCTGCTAGAACTGGGAGCTGCGGTATGCACATTTTTTATGTGCGGCTGCAGAAAGGAAGTGCAGACCGCACATTTGCAAGTGCGGCTGCACTTCAGTCAAAAAACATCAGAGGCTCAGAAGCCTACTCTATGAAGATAGTGCGGAGGCTATTTTGTGGCCGCATAATACATATGCAGTCTGCACAATTTGGAGTGCGGCGTCACTAAGATTTTTACGGTCCGCACAATTGAAGTGCAGCCGCAGAAGTACCCGCCTGCAGCAGGTTACCCAAAACACCAAACTGCGGATCGCACAAACTCAAGTGCGGCCGCAGATTTCAAAAGTTACGAAGAGGCTGTCTTTTTTTAGTTTAGATGTTACCATTACTTGTAAAATAGACATGGCACCATGGTTTACACATGAAATTTTACTAACCCAACCCGTTATGGTATATATTAACAACTACCACGTTCAAATCTACCCCACATGGACATATGGATGAACTCTAATAACAGATTGCCTAAAAATATACTAAAATTTCGAAAATTAAATGAACACAAAAATTTAACATGAAATGAAGCATACCAGATAGAGTGAGTACACTGGGTGTGTAATAACAGGTAGGTGTCTGTAGGGACAGTGGAAATCTCTCAAGAAACTTGCAAAGTAATAGTGATTGTGAGGAGAGTGAAGAGTGTAAAATGAACTGAAACTTCTATTTATACCAAGAGCCTTAAGAGGGAAAAGGGATCATGTGCGGCCATAGATTTCCATGTGCGGATCGCACACTATAACCTAGGTCAGCCTTCTCTGATCTTAATTTGTGGTCCGCACGTTTTTTAGTGCGGCCATAGATTTCCACTTGCGGTCGCAGATTAGCCCCGCACTGACAGCCTCAAACTTCAGAGAGTTGACATTTTTACACTTTGGCAAGATTCCAATTGTGCGGTCCGCATGTGAAATATACAGTCGCGAATGTCCGTCTGCTGTGCCACATGAAATTGCGCGGTCTGCACAAATAAAGTGCGGTCAGCAGATCCTTGAACACAGCCAATATTTATTTTTATTTTTAGTTCACCCTTCTTGCAAGTCATAGATGAACCTGTAGCACACTTCAAATCAAGTTATAACACAAATAACATCTAACTACAAAAGAAAAAGGAAAAGAACATGGGTTGCCTCCTAGAAGCGCCTGATTTAACGTCGCAGTACGACACAATGCCAAATCTCTCTCAAGTGAAGTAAAGGATTGCCACCATGTGGCTATCTCCAACCTTGCCCAAGTAGTGCTTCACCCGGTGACCATCGACTCAGAATACTTATTGTTTTTGTTCTTCAAGTCTAATGCACCAAAAGGTGTGAAACCAATAATTTTAAATGGACCACTCCACTTGGATTTTAGTATCCAGGGAAACATTCTCAACATTGAGTTAAACAACAATACAATGTCGCCCACCTTAAAATCTTTGTTCCAAATGTATTTTTCATTAAGATATTTCATCTTTTTTTTACAAGGATGAACTCGCATATGCATGGTACCAGAACTCATCCAATTCATTCAAATGTGCAACTTGCAAGTTAATGGCTACATCCCTATCAAGATTCAACTTCTTTAGAGCCCACATTGCCTTTTGCTCTAGTTCCACCTGAAGATGACAAGATTTTCCAAACACCAACCAGTATGGAGACATTCCGATAGGTGTTTTGTAAGCCGTCTGACAAGCCTATAACGCATCGTCAAGCTTCTTGTATCAATCCGTCTGATTAGCGTTCACCATTTTAGACGTGATACTCTTTCTCTCCCGGTTTGAGAATTCCACTTGCCCACTAGCTTGTAGGTGATAGGGAGTTGTGACCTTGTGAGTAACACCGTACTTGATAGGTAAAGTGTCAAAATTTTTGTTGCAAAAGTGTGACCCAACATCGCTTATGATTGCACATGGAGTACCAAATCATGTAAAAATATTTTTCTTCGAGAAAGACACTACACTTCTCGCCTCATTGTTGGATAAACCGATGGCCTCAACACGTTTGGATGCATAATCCATCGTGATCAAGATGTAGGTGTTTCCACAAGAGCTCACAAAAGGGAACATGAAGTAAATACCCCAAACATCGAAAATAGATATCTCCAAAATGGTTATGAGAGGCATTTCATTTTTCTTTGAGATTCCAGTGGCTCGTTGACATTCATCACATCTTTTAACCAACTCACTAGCATCCTTATAAAGAGTATGCCAACTGAAACCACAACGAAGCACTTTGGCCGTCGTTGTTGCTTTACCATGATGATCACCATATGGCAAAGAATGACAAGCCCCAAGAATATCACCTTGCTCTTCTTCCAGTACGCACCTTCTAATCACCCCATCCGTACAAATCCAGAAAAGGTATGGTTCATCCCAATAATATTCTTGACAATCTCTTTTGAGCTTCTTCCTTTGGTTTGAAGAGAACTCATCCGGAATGATTCCACACACAAGAAACTTTGCCAAGTATGTGAACCATGGCACCTCTTTCATTGAAATTGCCAAAAGTTTCTCATTGAGGAAGGAGTCATTGATTTCAAGGCCATCATGCGGCCCTCCCCTCCTCTTCCAAACGAGACAAGTGGTCCGCCACTTGGTTTTCACTAGCTTTTCTATCTTGGATGTCAATATCAAACTCTTGCAACAAAAGCACCCATCTCATCAACTGAGCTTCGGAGTCCTTTTTGCTCATAACACAACGAAGTGTCGCATGATCCGTGTGAACAAACACTTTTGCACCCATCAAGTACGGGCAGAACTTCTCAATTGCAAATAAAATAGCAAGGATCTCTTTCTCTGTAATGGTATAGTTGATTTTGGCACTATCGATGGTCTTATTAGCATAGTAGACCGTATGAAAAATCTTGTTAATACGTTGCCACAATAGTAAGACTTCCTCCATCATTGCACACTTCTCCAAATACTCCTTTGGCTCAACATCCTCGAAGCACAAGTATGCGTTTAGCGTATATTTATCAAACCTGACCTTGAGGTTGTGTACTTTGGTCACCTTCGTCCCTTTTTTTATATGAGCCATATTGGCATTGAATTCACGGACGAGGTATTCTTTGGAATCATCTACCCTCTGGGTGAACCTCATCTACCCCTTTCGTTCCCTAAACTGTCTCAATATAGCTGGGTTGTACTTCTCCAAATCCTTCAACGAAAACTGTCGCTCAAGAGTTATCGACGTCACTGGCCACCACATATGAAAACCGGTAAAGGCGGCTAGGCTGACAAAGTGATCCTCCAAAGCTTCTTTCTTATTTGATCTTTCAGGCCCTGTAGATGTAGCATCTCCCCCTCTACCATCATCGGGGTTATTATGTGTTATATGTGCCTCAAGGACTGGTGTAGCTGATGGCTTAGAAGCCTGACTATCACTCTCTGGTCCCTCAAAGGTGCTGTGGGATGAAGACGGCTTGTCCCTAAGCTGGTATTCTTCTGCGGCCTTGACTGTGTGGCCAATTTCTCTTCTTGAATAGAGGCTGAGTTTCCTTTTGACACTTCCCTAGATGGGACATAAAAGTTAGACTCGGAGAGGTCTGCACCTCTCCCTCTGCCGGATGTTCCTTATTTATTATCATCTTCTTTTGGCCAAGGGGCAAGGCACTTTTGCCTCGACCCCGAGAAGATTCATCTCTCCCTCTTGAAGTGTCGCCTCGTCCTCTTGATTATACCTTTGTCAGTATCAAGCAAAGGAGATTGTTAGTTGCAGTTCATTGTTCAAACACATAAAGGAGAAATACAAGAAAAGGAGAAACCATAGGACATAATGAGGGTTGTACGGTTGAGTCATGCTTGCAGGATAAGGGATATGCAGTCTGCATAATTTAACCTGCGGCCGCAGATGGGGGCTCGCGATCTGCATATTTTTGTTGTGCGGCCGTAGGCCCGTATGTCATATGTATAAGTTTGTATATCATGTTGGGTCGTCATATGTTGA